AATATTTGGTAGTTATTTTAAATGCAAATCCTTTTGTATTCTTGAAAGTCTTCTTTGGTACATTACGAGTGTTTGGGAGGCTTTCGAACTGTGGCGAGACACAGTTAGTTTATTCTAACTAAGTGACAAACCATAGATCGATTTTTTAATAAACATGTAATTGTTTTTATTCATGTAAAAAGGGTTGTTTTGGCAAAAACATGCATGTACCTTGGGTATGTCTTTCTTTGAATCAGAGGGACTTGATTCAAAGACAATTTATTCATAAACAAGTGATTATTGAAATGTCCACATTATGGAGGCAGATTTTCATAAATGGGATATTATTAAATGACATTCTAAAGAGAAAAGACTGCTTATTCAATACTCTTATAATACTTATTTAAGTAGTGAATATGTATATTTGTTTTGTTTCAGTGACGAGGGTGCACAATGTATATCAAAATGGTTGTTTGTGGTACTATATCGTATAGTGGGGACGTCACAAGTGGTAAACATGAGAAGAGATATGATGGACTTAAAGGAGATGATCATAAATCAAGTAATGGGTGATGGGGTGAGTGAGATGAAAAGTGGATGTAGAAGAGAGGGTTTCAGACTCAGGGGATCAGATTTGGATATAATGTTCTGGCTTAATGACCATCGAGTGATCTGGAAATTGAATCACACCAAGATGTTTAAATTAGGTCAACACTCACTGGTTTTAGCTGATAGTTCCGATAGTTCACCAGGATTCACATTATTCCAAATTCTAACACCATCAAAGTATGGAGAAGTCGATTCTGCATGCATCAGAATAAATGATAATTTCTATAAATCTAGTTCCATGTACAGACAGGTCACTAACTTAAATATTTATCCAAATACCACTGAACATGGACCGTGTAGTAGAAGACATACGCACACGAATACTGACTTTGATTGTGCGTATTGTTTTGCCTGTGACTTTTGGCCTCCTTCAGCCTCTTCATGGATCGACAGATGTCACTCTTGGCCTCAACCTCATGTTGTTCATGACGTCATTAGAAAGGGATGTCATTTTGTAGCAATATGATACAAATTAGGAAATAATAGAGATACTGAGAGGAGAATTTCTTTCTCTTTAGCAGAACAAAAACTTGTGTGTGCTATGAATCACTGTCAATTCTTAACATATGGTTTACTAAAGCTGTTCTTACAAGAGGCAATCAATAGTGAAGAAGATGACAATGATAAGTTGCTGTGTTCCTATCACATAAAGACAGCTATTTTTTGGTTGATTCAACAAAACACAATATCATTCTGGCGTCCATACAATCTTCTGGAGTGTTTCTGGTTTTGTTTTAAAATTATCCTTAAATGGACATATGAGGGAGTTTGTCCTAACTTCTTCATTCCACAAAATAACATGTTTTTAGGACGAATTAATGGTGGAGTTCAAACAAATTTATTCATAAAATTGTATGGGTTAACGTTGTATGAAAAAGGTTTAGAATCGCTGCTACACATCCCGTCTATAAAGTCTACCTATGTAGTCTCCCTTTGTAATCCAACATTCTCAGTTTGTTTAGGTGAACAGATTTGGACTTATGAATTTGTGTAGCGTTATTTCATGAGGTGTACTGTAACGGTTCTCGACTCTACTCATTAAATCTTTACCAATGTATGCGGCACCTGGATATATTGGAACAATCGTTACATACATCTATGAGCCAGTTCCAAGTTTTCATGCTACAAAGACATGCAGCCATCATATTTCAAAATATTGCTTTTATCATATACAGAAATGGAAATGTAAACAAACTTATGTACTTTCTTGTCATTTGCTCAAATTAGCCGCCAAGTTTGGTTGTATTTCAGATATGTTGTTTATTGCTATGTATTATTACAAGACTCTTAAGTATGACAAAGCTTTAGCTGTGATTGAGATGACAAAAGATAAGCCATATGTGATGTATATATCACAAGTAGACACAGAGAGGTTTAGCGCGGCTGTGGAAGGACTGTCCTGGTCGAAAAGAATGAGAGAGGCTGTTGCTTGGGATATCACCTTTTACAGTTCTTTCTTTTGGATGAATGAGTTAAAACCAGAGCAACAGTGTTCGTTACAGAATGTGAATCCTGCATTCGACATACCATCATTTATTCTGTTACACATTCTGTTACACATGATAGAGTTCTTGTGCCTAAGATATACTGACTCAGTGAAATCACGAACAATTCTAAATAATTTACAGATACTAGTAGAAGATTGTCAAAGTAAGTAAGTGTCTAAATATCAAAAAGACATATCATGGCAGATCTTGTCTTGGAATTTGTCAGCAGATGTCAGGGAATCTCCAGTCCGCATTTTACGCTTATCAACAATCACTCAGACAATGTCCTGCTCACAAAATACGAACGGTAACATTAATGAGAATGCTAAGTATCATAGGGCAAAATCACATTGGAGAAGTTAAGTGAAACATTAACAGGTCTTTCGCAAAACATTTTTCAAAATTCCAGATGAATGCAAATCAACGAATAAAGAACATTGGTAAATTATGTGTGCAACGTACCCATAGCTTTAAGGTATTCAATTTTTAAGGAAGGAATATTGAACAATTTTGAATCACTTTAAATCAGTGAAATATACATTGCTAAGAAACGATGAAAGAATTCAAATTCACATGACTAATAACATGTAAGAAGCCGGCCAATTTTCACTTGATAGAAAAAAGAAAATTCAATTTTGATAAAATATCTGTGGTAATTTACTAACTTTTATTTCATATTCTAATATAGAGAGCCTACGCTTATTTTTACCAAGATATTTGTTTAAAGTTCAAATTACTTTTCACAATATTTAAAAAAAATGTACTGCCCATACACTTCAATGTAAAATTCAAGGTGCAACTTATTCGACAATGATCAAAATTTTGAAAATGTCTTTGTTGTAGTATTTTTCTTTGATAACACCTTCAAAATTCTACCATGAAGCATTGCATAATTGTATCTTATTTTAGAATTATGCCTGACGCTGAAACCGTGCTTTATAAGCTCCACTCCTCAAATGCCTCAGATAATTTGTCCGATTTCTTAGTTCACTCCTCAGATACATGTGCTTGTATTATGAAATTGAATCCTTGAAAAATATTCCTGAACTAATTCTATGTGTCATATTTTGATTGATTCTCCTTGAACTTCTCGATGAGTGGATATTTTTGAAAATATTTGTGAAACTTAAAGTATTTAATTTACATTTTTTTATTAGATATTCTATTAATAAATTGCGTGTATTCATCATTATATGCTCTATTTTTATTGGCTCTTATTGTAAGTTTGTACTGAATTATTCATTATTGTAAATAAACTGTAAAGTTTAAAATTGTGTTGTTGATTTATGCTGATATTTCGGTTTATGTGACCATAACCTCCTCCCAATTTTTAAAATATAAACACACACAGGGATCATAGAGGGTGTGACCAGTCAACAAGGGAAGCTTACATCTCTCATCTCTGGAAGTACCAAGTCTGCCTTCTTCACATATTTGTAATATTGTATTCTATCACTGATATATCTTTTCTCCTTTCTTTCTCACCCAAATTCAAATAACCATGGCATATTCTTTTTTTTGATATGATAAAAATACCGTTTGAGTGGAAATGGATACGTATGCAAATGTAGCGAGATGTCATTAAAATTCCGTAATTTATTTTTAGCAAGAATTAATTTTAGAGATTTCAAAAAATGGTTAATGAAGAAGCTATTACAAATAAAACGCAATTGATATTTAACAAAATTAAAATCTCGCTAAATATTCTGCTTAGACGATAGCTGTTTTATATTGATAAAGACAGACAAACACTGGAAATTATTAAAAACAACAACATGACAAGATGTTTCTGTTTTTACATTTTCAGCTGTTTCCACTCTGCCTTCTTCCTTGTACTTATCTTGGTAATTCCATGGTTTGTCGGACGTCATTCAAAATTAAGTTAAGTAATTTTTTCCGGTTTTGATTTTCTAATTTATCGTATATAAGTATTTATGGATAACTGCTAGGGTGGTGCTCATTTTGACCCAAATAATTGTTGAGGAATTGGATTGGTCATTTATTGAACCAATAAATGACAAAGAATAATGCAAAGAAAAAGATAAAAAAACAGTAAAAATATAAAAAACTAAATCAAAATACCATAATTCAATAGAAAGAAAGTGTTTTGTTAAACATACCAAAAATGCCATAAACTTAAAAAGAGAATTTAAAAAGGTCATATACTCAGTAATTTACGGAAGCCAATTTATGAACTGTAAAAAATATTTTTGAATTTGATTTCCGAATTTGTAAAAACGAATTGAATACATTATAACAATTTCTAGAGGAACCTTTGGATAATTTGAAAACACCAGATTTTACCAAAATCTGTAAAGCTTATCAATGTTTAGATAAATGGGTTGTAATTAAAATGTATTGCATCTTATACCCTTTTCTTTTCTCATGGAAGATAGATTGTTGACAGGGTGTAATGAGCAGCTTGCTCACTAAAAAGGAAATTAATTTGGCTGATGCTTTGTTTGACCAAGGATCATGTCAATATTGAATCTAAGTTGGCCATTTTTTAAATGTTTTTGAACAGTGTTATCGCCATTGTGATAATTCTTCAGTATGATAAGGATTATGGAATTCTCAAAAAAATAATCAAATCACAAAAACCAAGACTAGTTCTTGAGGGACCATTCTGTTCAGAGCCTGAGAAACTCACTAAATGCAGGTGACCATTAAGGCCTATATATACATGTATGTACATGTACTCACCATTATTAAGTATGCCTTCATAATCTAATTTGTTTTTTAATCAGATACCGTTCAACGCATCTTTTTTTAAACAAGTGAAACTAATAATTTCCTTATAAGGCATCTTTTTTTAAAGCAATACTCTTAATATTTCAACACGCCATTAAATTAGCTTATGTTTATTTTTGGCAATCCAATAGAATAAAAGGGGACAAAATCTAACCATATGATCACTCTTAAATTATTTTTATATAGAAGAACCGCAGTATGATTTGGAACGAAGTTTAAGGTAGGCTATCTAAATGTTACACGGGTAGGAGGGTCATGCATCTTTTATTTAATTCTATGTTATAAATGATTCCATGTTTTAATAAATTTGTCTTTAGATATTAAATTTAAAGTCTTTTACAAACGACGTCTAAAATTTAATTCCTTTTCCTTACTTTAATGGAACACAAAATTAAATAATATCCAAATATTTCAACACAATATTAATGAACCTCCAAATGAAGTAAAAGATAGGTGCAAGTGAATTAGAGGTAAGTCTGTATGAATTAAAGATACGTGGAATTAATCAAACCTTTCACTAAAAACTAAAACAAGTTTTAAATAATTTACACTTAGTTTTAAAGGAGTTACACTTATCTTCAATTTAATTCAAGATAGATTCAATTGAATTAAATACTTGAAGATAGGTATAATTGACTCAAAGATACAGGTATCATTTATTTAAAGATAGTAACAATGGATTTGAATTTAGGTAATTCCATTATACAAAGTCTAAATTCTGTTTCTTATTGAAAATAATGAAAGCTCCCTCTTCTTGATGTGGCGTCCTTAACAAGGAGGTAACTCTACAACACATTTTTATGGGGAGTACTTGTTATTGTCACTGAATTCAAACTCAGTTGCACCTATCTTTGAAACAATTACATATATCTAATGTATTTTTAATGTGTGGCATTTGCATCTATCTTTTAATAAATTGTACATATTTTCAAATTAATTGTACGTATCTAGATGAATTTGGTGTAAATGAATGAAACCTTTCTTCGATTTATCAATAGATAGCTACATGTATAATTAATTTGAAGATAGAAACATTTAATTGAAGATCTATTCAAATATTAAAATTTGCGGTAATTTAGTGTATCATACATTCATTTTCTGCATTGATAAGGTGTACAATTAGACTGAAATAATGTATTATGATTACGTTAGAGTTTTAGCGGATGAAGGCGACTCAACCCTGTGCTACCTGGTCTAAATCTGTCCACGCCAAGCTTTGCACCATTCTCCCGAAGAATATGTCGTACGCGTAGATCTGCATTTGGTTAACCTATCGCTCGAAAAGTGGGATGTATATCCGTCTGTACTTCTGTCTGTTTAGCTGTATGTTCGGTCATCTGTCCGTCCCTCCGTCTGTTACGTCTTGGGATGCCCAACTCTTATCCGCAACTCCTCTTATTCCACTGAATGAAATTTGATAAGACATTCATAGAATCTTTGTTATGAAGTTCCATTGTGCACCTGCAATTTTTTTTTGATCCGACACATAATTTGGGATTCCCTTGGCAAAATAAAAACATTCTTTCTGTAATATTGAAGGGTACCCATCTCTTATTCGCAACTACTTCTATGCTACTAAATAAAACTAATGATACTCTCATAGATTCTTCATTTTTAAATGCAATTGTGCAACTCCTATTTTTCCTTTTTGATTTAATATTTAAAACATAGACCTTGCCATTTAAATCATTTAAGAGACGGGGTATCACTTAATCAGCTCAGTGTTCACACTACTTCTAGTTATACCCCTGCTTGAAAAGCGCGAGGTTGTATAGCAATCGGAATGTCTTTTATTCATCTCTTAAGTTTTGGGGTACCCATCTCTTACACCTTTCTACTACTGAATAAAATTTGATTAAACTTTCATATAATCTTTATAACAATATGCCAATTCATACCTCCTATATCACCTTTCGATCCGACACATATTTTGGGTTTCCCATAGATAAACATGGACACTGCCAATATATTCGTGTAGGAAGCGGGAGTATCATTTAGTGAGTTTTGCTCACAGTACCTCTAGTCTTTATACTGTTTTACTTTAATAATAATTTAGTACGGGATTTAATGTCGCAGCTATCACAGAGAAAATACAAATCCCGCGTTTGCCTGTGTTCAAGAAAACTACACACGTGGATTGCTCAGTGTTGTAAATGCAATGATTAATGGCAATGGTCTTCAAAAGAAATAAAGTCAAAAATATTCATTGGATGTAAATATATAAGAATATATTATAAACAAATATATTGTGTTTATTTATGAAAAACAATATAAATTAAAATTTACTATGTACAAACTTAAACTTGAATTTAAGTTATTTTTCTTTCTTTTTCATAGAATCATCGTATTTACAGTAAATATTTGATCATGACAACCCCAACTTGGCTGTGAGTAGAAACAATACTTATTAATATTGAAGTGTTGTATAAAGAGACTAGGAAATATTTGTCCATGTTCTACAAATAACAAAAACTTTAATTTATCTTGTGGTATTGTTGAGGAAGTGCATGCTGTCCGTATAAACAATTTCTAAAACGAAGTAAATTACACAAGACGAAAGTCCACCTTTAAGCAATCGCTTAATGGTAGCTTAATGGTGATTTAATGGTGGCTTAAAGAAGTTAATTTCTTTAAGCCACCATTAAGCCACCATTAAGCTGCACCTTACAGGTGCCTAATGTCCAAACTTCATTAAGCTACCATTAAGCCACCATTAAGCTGAGCTTAATGGTGACTTAATGGTCAAATCTCATTAAAATTTTACGCATCTTATATAGATTCTTTAAACTAACTGTTAGTTATTTTAATATCATTTACACAAAATCTATTCCAACTCACAATGTTGTCTTGATCATAATTTCTACGATTTTTTTTTTGTCAACATGCATAAACTTGATCACTGAGAACAAAGTTACATGTACATGTAGATAATAGCCACAGGGGCTTGCTCGACGTGTCTAATTTTTTTTAAAAATCATTTACAGTGATAATAAAACTATACATCCTTTATCAGATCCGTATATTATTTAATAAAAAAAAATAAATTATTATTACATGCGTTGTTTTTATTTTTAGTGTATATGATTTTTAAAATTAATAATGATTACACACCGGGAGCAAGTCCTTGTGAAATATCTTAAATTTTCAATACCAAAAATCAATTTGTTCTTAAAATTATCTTTATCCATGAACACAGAATATATATTACTTTTTAAAAACAAAACGGTATCATTTTTATTTCGTTCGTTAAAAGAAACATTCCGCTACAGAATTCACAGGACTATAACTTTAAGTCATATAATTTCATGAAAAAAAATCTCTGTCTTATTTTTTTTGGGGGGGGGGGTGGGGGGCTACTAGTATACAAATGTTTAGTTTTCAAAGATTGACTTTTACCATAAAAACTTTTTAATGGCTTTTACATCATGAATAATTTTTATTAATTCGTTATCTTTTTTTTTAATAATGCAGCGGTAAGTATTTGTCAAATTCTAGTCGGTCTTCAATGATTGTTATTTCAAAATCGATTTTCAGAAGAACAGCCGATCAGACTAAACATAACATCCGACCAGATGTATACACATTGAGAAACGGGGTAAGATTAACAGATGATCAGTGTACAGTAAACCGACAGGTCAGACAATAGACCTTAATTAGGTGTCCCCCCGTCCCGGTTAACTAACAGAAACTATACACACACAACGTACACTGACAGATTTTGATGATCAATTATTTTTACATAATTTAAATTTAACGCAAGCATATAACAATTAAAATTATGATTCATCGTAAAAAGTAAATTATTTTGATACCCATAATGATACAAAAAGAATTGAAACTGAATCTGATATTCTAAAAAAAGTTTTTGTAAACGTAATTAACCAGGTAAATCTTATGCGAGGATGGACACTAAATTGTTGACACAGAAACCGTCAATATCTGCAGTATATTAAAAAATATAGTAGAATCTGTTTTTTCGTCTTTCTTTTTCGATGATAGATTTTTGTGTTTTATCTATAATTAATTTATTTTCAATCATGATTTAATGCTTACATGTATAAATTTTCGAATAACATAGCGAAGAACTCAATCACATTACATCAATCTAAAAGCCGAAATCAATGGTTTAGAAATATTAATGTGATATAAGCCTTTCAAAAAGATCCACAAATAAAATTGTTTATATTTTGATTAATAAATCTATTCAAGATTTTTGGAAACGTGCACCAAAATTCTAGTAAATACTTTTATAAATAAGTCCAAACAAATTTTTTAAAAAAATAAAGGTTAAATATTTAATATTTTCACTAATAATCAAGAGCGGCGATGGTCTAATGGATAAGGCGTATGCCATGTAATCCTAAGGCCCCGACTGTGGCGATTTTTTTTTTAAGGTTGAATTTCGTTCTTTTTTTGTTATTTTTACCAAATCAAGATATGTGCGAACTCTATATTTATAATATTGATAACAAATCACTATAAAAATAATTTTTCACCCTTATAAACAATATTATCGACTGCGTAATGTGGCTTAATGGTGGCTTAATGGTAGCTTAATGGAGTTTGGACATTAAGCACCTGTAAGTCCTCCTTAATGGTAGCTTAATGGTGACTAAATGGTGGTCTAAAAGCTACCATTATGGACCTGTAAGCCACCATTAAGCTACATTTAAGCACCCATTAAGGACTTTGAGATGGCTTAATGGTAACTTAATGGTGATGTAAATGTTACTTAAAGGTGCTTAATGGTGACTTAAAGACAACCATTAATCCACCATTAAGGACCAATAGGCCACCATTAAACCGGACTTAAAGGGTGTGTTTCATCTTGTGTTATTGACAAACAAGTTGCTAAAACAAGAATATCAGCAATCTCATGTAAGGGTCAAGATCTAGTAATGACTATTTAGACTAATTTTTTGGTGCTAGATCCATTATGACGTCATAATCAATTTCAACGTTCTTTTTCCCGTACTTTACAGCTTTGGCATAGTTATGTAGAAAATAGGAAATGTCATGGCATTCAATTTGAAATCATATGAAAATAAAACCGGATACCTATATTTAATTTAATATTGATTTAAAGAAGAGGGCATGAACATACTAATTACCGGTTTCTGAGAGACTGTAGGCAATGTGAATACATTTCCTTTGTCGAATATGAAAAAAACTCCCATATTCATGACTGGTTTTCTCAACTTTTCATTGAAAATGACAGTTTAAAATACAGTTTTTCACCGTTTACCTACAAATTATGTCCCGAAACAGCTTATTATTTGACCAAGCTAAAGCATCAATAAAGGAATTTATTTCTCAAATTTGATAAATCTGTATGCACCTTTTATTTTCTAGATCTTTTCTAAATCTTGACCTTAAAGTCTTCATTTCATAACATCTTTTGTAGACACAATGATCTTGTCAGCAATTCAATTTATCATTAAGTAAAATACTGACTGACTTTTTCATACTAATTCAATTGTTAGTCCATTATTTATATAGGTTGCCTTATGTTACATAAATTTATTATATGCTGTTGGTAACCATAGTCTTTCGATAGAGATAGGTAGATGGAATAATGTTGAAAGAAATGAAAGAGTGTACAATTTATGTTATAATATTGGAGACGAATTTCATTATATACTGGAATAAAGTGCATTATATAGTATCCGAAAAGATTTTTGTTGCAGAAGTACTTTGTACATCCAAATATAATAAAATTCTGTAATTTGATGACAAGTACAGATTCAACATCTTTAAGAAAATTGTATATACACTGTATTTATCATATTTATAAACCCACGAAATAAAATTTTGAAATCACAGCATATAACGAAAGAACCATAGCATATAATTTTGAACCCGCAGTAAATAATAATAGACCCACAGCATATAATTATGAACCAACAGCATATAATTATAAACCAACAGCATATAATAATAGACCAACATATAATTATCTAAAATAAGTCAGCCATGCAGTTCAAAAGTGAAGAATTTCATATGTAAATTTCAATAATGGGTAATAAGCATTGGCTACAGAGAAAAGATCAAGAATCTCATTTTCATTTCCATGAAATATTATAAATCCATCGTCGCGATAGCGATATATGGATGTAAGTATATAAACAGGTCAAACCTTTATCTTTATTTAATCAAAACAAGCATATTTCTTCAAAGTGAAACTTACACTATTTAAAAAAATGTTTACATACTTGTATTTTTTCCAGGGACTTGGGTAAATTATCAGAGTCTGTGTTTATGGGACTGTGTCACAAAGTGGGATGCTCACAGACAGTGATCATGAGGAGAGAGATAGTAGACTTCAGGGACATGATGAGAACTCAAGTAATACATACAAGAGAAGACATAAAGATGATCAGTGGGAGTACGAAAGAAGGATTCAGGCTGAAGGAATCAGATTTAGATGTAATGTTTTGGCCAAAGGACCACTATGTAGTCTGGGACTTGGACCAGGCTCAGAATTATGACTTGAGTAGAAAAACACTGATTCTCTGTGATTCTTCTGATAGCCTACCAGGATTTGCGTTACTTGAATTACTAACACCAACACACAGGGAAAGTGTAAAGAATGCATGTATAAGAATAAATGACAGACTCTATGTATCCAGTTTCAAATACAGACAAACCACATTTTCAATAGTTGTGACTAATTCTAAGGAACATGGCCCGTGCGGTAGTGGTGTTCTTTTCGGAGTAGCAGAGTATGACACTGCCCAATGTTTTGTCTCTGATTTTTGGCCCCCTCCTGCCTCCAAATGGATAGACAGATGTCACACATGGCCCACGCCTTCAATTGTCGATGATATAGTCAGAAATGGATGCCACTTTGTAGCAATAGGACACAAATTAGGAAAGCATGCAGACAAAGAATGGAGAATTTCCTTCTCTTTGGCAGAACAAAAACTTGTCTACTCAATGAACCATTGTCAATTCTTAACCTATGGATTGCTTAAATTGTTTCTAAACGAGTCTATTAATAATGGATTAAGTGATGAGGACAAATTACTATGCTCCTATCACATGAAGACAGCGGTTTTCTGGATTATTCAACGAAACACAATACCTCACTGGCATCCACAGTATCTTCTGGAGTGTTTCTGGGTCTGTTTTAAACTCATCCTTAAATGGGTGTATGAGGGAGTCTGTCCAAACTTCTTTATTCCAGAAAACAACATGTTTCTGAGTAAAATCCATGGTGAAGCACAAAAGAATTTATTCATTAGGCTTTATAAATTGTATGAGAAGGGTATAGTATCACTGCTTCGTATTCCATCTATCAGGTCCAGTGTTATAAGTGTTCTTAAAAATCCCAGACAATCTGTTGCTACAAATAAACACATGCTGTTGTCCAGGGTTTTATTTGAAATAAATCTTCTTCATGAATTGAATTCCAATAAAATAACAACATCAGACCTTAAGCAATGTATAAGGTTCTTAAACGATGTAGAAAAGTTGATAATTTTACCCCTGACCCAGTTCCAGGTTCTCATGTTACATAGGTTTATAGCCTCTATACTCCAGAGCACGGTTTTTTTGTTACATAATGTTTTTACCGGTTTTGCACAATTCAAGGTATATACTAGCTCAGTTGTAAACAAACAGGTGTACATGTATATGGCTAAAACATCCAATTATATGCTGAAATTAGCAGCCAAGTTTGGGTGTATTTCTGATACGTTGCACATTGTAATGTTTTACTACAAGACACTTAGATATAAAGAAGCCTTATCAGTCCTAAAAATGACAAAGGCCAAGTTAGCACAGCCATACGTTGTTTATGTCTGTTATTCAAATACAAAGGCAGCATGGTACATGTTTCATCAGTCCTTAGGGGGACAGTCTTGGTCTACAAAAATGAGACATGCTGTAGCCTGGGATTTAATTCTTGATAATGAAATATGTTACATCAATGAATTAGTGCCAGAACAAATGTCGGGACTACAGAGCGAAAACCGTGTATTACTTATCCCACTCTATGTTGTGTTACACATGTTAGAAGTCTTGTGTTACAGACATGTAGACCCAGTGAGAGCACAAACAGCTCTAGACAATCTACAGGACCTGGTTCATCATGATCAGAGGGAGTATATAATGAAGCCTAAAAGAGACATATCCTGGGAGATTCTAGGGATCTGTCAACAGGTGACAGGGAACCATCAAGCTGCTCTGTATTCCTACCAACAATCTCTCAGACATAAATCGCACAACATACAAACTGCTACATTGATGAGAATACAAGAAATCATGACACTCATGCACGGAAATCAATATTACTCACGATAATATGTCAAGATAGTTACCTGTCAAAATTCTGCATTTCAGAGAAAGATACTTTCAACCCCCCCCCCCCCCCTTTTTGGAATTTCTTTTATTTTTCATTTTTAGTTAGTGCAGTATTGATATTGTTATTGCATATTATTAAAAGAAAAGGGAATCATTTTTATTCCTATAACAACCCACTATGTATTACATGTCTATTACGTCTTTCATTTATATTACCCTCACACATGATAAATATTTTTATTACCCAACAAGATATGTTTGTGAAACACTGATTCCTTGTATGGCAGTTTATGGCGAAGGTTGAAGTTTCTCAAATGCAAGTTAAACTCCATGGTCAAACATGTTGTTATCCAAAGGAAGGTCTTCTCACAAAGAATACACATGTGAAATATGAAAGTGATGGTGGACCGACAGACCAACAGACTGCAGCAAAGTAATATGCCCACCCCTCTTCGAATGGGGGGGCATAAAAATATCGTATTGTGATACATTTTATCAGTACCGATAAACTGGCAAAATGCTAGGGCTCTAAATATTTAAAGTAAAATATGACCTTTAAGAATGTCAGAAACATTTTAAATCGTGCCAAACAGTACCAGATGGTAATGAAAGGTTTCTGGTGTATAGTTGTACTTTTTTTTGCCAAACTGTACTTTAATCAACTAGAACTAATTAGATATAATGTATTTATAAAAGTTTTATTCACTCTGCTTATGAATGGATGTTAATAAAGTGAGATAAAAACATTTTAACTGTTATCAAACATGCAATAAAAAAACCCGTACATATCGTAATACTATACATTTATTGACTGAGTTCGAGGGCAACATGCGTTTTGTCGGACCCAAGAACCAAACTGTCTGCCTGAGGCCGTTAGGCCGAAGGCAGACAGTTTGGTTCGAGGGTGCGACAAAACGCATTTTGCCCGAGAACACTGTCAATAAATGTTTTGTTATACCTTTCATTTTATTCTATATTTTTTTACATAAATGTATCTTGTACTATATTACGTAATGTAACATTAGATCTGTCACTTTTTAAAACCAAAGAATAAAAATGAGATTAAGCTCCGCCCATTCTGTAACGTAAGCGGTCCAACATCTCTCCGAGCGGTCCAACATCTCACTCAGCGGTCCAACATCGATTTTTTTTATGCCCGCTCAGCAAAACATTAAAAATGCTAGACTTTTTTCTGTATAGATTTGTATAGGAACAAATTTTTAAAGGTATAACAATATGGTATACTGCGGTCCTTTCTGCTATTTTGAAATCCTCCTTAGAATTGATTAATTTCCTCCTTTGGTAGCGTAAACAAAAATTCCAGTTATCAATTTTCAAGTTTATTACACGTTTTAAATAAATAATTGCAATCACAACACTATTTACAAAGCATCCAAAATATAATTCCACAAATCTTTAATCTATTCCACTTAAACTCCGTCTCTCACTGACACTGGTCACGCGTGCGTGCACGCCCTATTCATATACATGTTAGGGGCAGTTCCACTGGAACTGTCCATACACGGCGGCAACCGGGGAGCTGCCACGCTGCGGACACTTCGATTACGTAATATATATCTACATTCTATAATAGAAATACTTTACAACTCCCCCGAGATAAGATTTTCAAATAAGTAGTATCATACAAAATAAATAATTACATACAATGAAGAGCCAAGAAATTAGTTGAGCTTTAAAATTTACGTTTTTCTTAATCAACAGTCACTGGTTGAAATCGCCATAAGTCTAGACGTTTAGGTCTCGATGGCACTGAAAATGAATCGGATTTTAACACAAATTGTCACGAATAAGTATGTCCATATCAATGGTGCCTGGGTCTAAATTCACACTAAAACACACATTTGTTTGTCTCTCGATTTTGGTATTTCCGTTCGGCATAACAGTAGTTGTTCGCGTTAAAGCTGACATGAATTCTTAAAAACGCAAAATTTTTATCTATGTACGACTTGTTTCATACCAAATACAGGGGCATCTTATCCACTCTGTTCTCTGCTTCACATTTTAAAAATACACAAGGGAAGAATCGAAAGTAGCACACGATTTTTAAAAAAAGTCAAAAAACAACTTACTTGAAAAAAGTTACACAAATCCTGAAAGGATAAGATGCCCCTGTGTACCAATGATAGCCGTATTCCGCCATATTTCTTTCAGATACCTTGTCTCATTGTAACGATGTATAGCCTAATGCGCTCGTTACAGTTCAATGATTTTTTGGTTTGGGTATCGACTTGTGCACATCTCCGATGGTAAAGCATATATGAGAACACATAAGGAGATCAAGACATTTCAAAACCACAATAAACAAAATAATAATCATATTTCTGAATAATTATTGATTTGAATCAAAAGAAAAAAATGCAAGTTTGGTGAGAAATTTAGATGCACGAGTACGTATATTTACAGTGCGCCAATATATGCAGAATAAAGTTGAAATAAAAAGCAATAAAATTTTGAATTATTATCATTTGAATGGCGCAAAACAACCAACGTCTTTGATTTGCAGCCCCTATGCAGTTGGTGCATATCGAGAAAATGCCTCGAACGCTGTAAACGTACCCATACCTGGTAATAAGGTTACTGCATCGGTTCGAAGATGTGCACAAGTCAAGTGATATACACCCTGAATTCCATTTATTGAAATATATTTACATCCACTGAATATGTTCTTCTTTATTTCTTAAGAAAACCCATTGCGTTCATCCCTGCATAAACTATATTAGGCATATCAACTGTACAGATTTCTTGATCAGTGGCCGTTCCATCAATGAAACGTACAAAGATGTTCGCATCATTAACACAAGAATTAATATTTTTAATATCCTTCTTAAAATGATAATTTAAACAGATATAAATATAAACAATAAAATGTCTTTCTTTGTTTGTTGTTACTGGAATGAACGGTCGCAGCTATTGCAGAAAAAAAATTACATAACCCGCTTACGTGGGTTATGTATTTTTTCTGCAACAGCTGCTTCCGTTCATTCCAGTAATAACAAACAAAGAAAGCATTTTATTGTTTAAATGCATCACAAAAAAGAAATAATATCCGTAAAAGCTCAATAGTAAACAAACTGTCATTACTCCGTACAGACAAACACGTCGATACACCTAGTCCGTGCCAATCAGATTTTGGTCAGGGAAAATATCACAAGTGGAAAGAGAAGTAATTTGGTATTTGCGTGGCTGAAGGGAAGGGGGGGGGGTGTATTATAAATGCTGGTCATAAGCTATAATTGTGAATTGTCTATCTACATGTAGTTCTAATATACATTCCATACAAAGTCATGTATATAGTCTGCAGTTGGTTTGCGTCGCAAAATTCATTTGTCCATTATAACTGATTATTGTAGTACTAATCTCAAATCTATTTAAAACCAAGTAATTTGATGTACGATAATTATTTACGTCAAATCTTAAAAGCAATTAACCAGAATACAATTTTTTATGTGTACATAGATCTATATACGTTCTTTAACACACAAACACACGAAGAAATGCCATCCCCTGTTCAGATTGACATTTAGGCATTTGATTTTTTAGGCGCGGGGGGGGGGGGGGAGCAAAAATAATTTACATGACCGTTATCTAAATATTATTGGAAGACGGACATCTCTGCCGAATTAAATTTTTAAAATTTTATTTTAAATTTGTCACACCGACCACAAAGTATGTGCATTTTGAGCATAGGCGTCGGAACCGGGGAGGGGGGGGGGGGGGGCTAGGGGGGGCTTAGACCCTCCACTTTTTTTCCAAATATATACTTAGTATAGACATTGAACATATCTTCGTAAGTTTAGCCCCCCACTTTCCACAGAGACGTCTTAGTATAGGTTAAAATTGGGATAAATTGGGTTCAAACCTACCCCCCCCCCCCCCCCCCCCCCCCCCCCCGAAATAGGATTTTCGTATTTGGGAAATAGACATATCCTTTTTTTTTTTTTTTTTTTTTTTTAATTTTTTTTTTTTTTGAAATTTTTTTTTTTAAACTTATCCCCCCCAATTTAAATTTGCTTCCGACGCCAATGTTGAGGTATGTATACTTGTAAATGTTTTATAATTATGGTGTTATAGAGAGGCTTTCGAAATTTCAGTATCCCTGTCTGATAGTCTAGCTACTTTTTTTTATATTTAAAAATAATTTCTGTAGGAGAATTTGGGAGATAATTCTAAAAGCTTAGGAAGGGAGACTTGACACTGGTTGAATACGGATAATTTTTATTTACTCTTTTGTATATTGAACTAACTCTCTCTCTCTTTCTCGATCTCTCTTCCTCCCTCCCTCTCTCTCTCTCACTCTGTAACCATCTCTTAGTGCATTAATAGGTATAATATCCTACGCACTTTGTGCTGTCCATTTATTAAGCCTTAGGACAGATCAGGGATTTTTTTCAGACGGAATGTCGAAACTTCATAAATTGAATAATAATTTTAATATGGACGAGAAGTTAATCCGAACGGCCAAATTGAAAGAGAAACTAGAGGTATTGTGAGAAATGAGCTCACTAAATGACACCCCCTCCCCCCAAATGGTTATAATGGCAAAGTCCATATTTTGCTGTTGTCGCTAAACCCAAAATACATGTCAGATCAAAAAGTAAAATAGGAGGTGCACAACGGTAATATGTAATATACCTATAAGGTTCTGTGAAAGTTTTATTTAATTTCACTAAGTGGTATAAGAGGATTTGCGGATAAGAGATGGGTACCCCAAAGCGTAGCAGACCGACCGACGGACGGACATAACTATTACTATATACCCTCCCACTTTTCAAGCGGGAGATATAATAAACGTGAAATATACATCACAGGAATGGGTACATCGGGAACTTTCTCAAATACCTTCTCAAACGCATTGGCGTCGGAAGCAAATTGAAAGTGGGGTGTGGGGGGGGGGGGTTGGGGGGGGGGGAGCTAAGTGCTAAGAAATTCATACATTCAAAAAATCTGACAAGCTTAAAAAAGGGGGAAATGTCCTTTTCCTAAACACAAATATCCTATATCGTGTGGGGGAAAGGGGGGGGATTTCTGGATCAGCGCCTG